CTGCTAATCTGATGTGTGCATGCAAATTTGATATTAAACGAACTAAATAAAGTTATAACCCCTGCAAAAGCCCATCCTTTAAGCTGCTTATGTAGAAAGGCTACTTTTGTATTGCAATAACTTATTGTCATATTATTGTAAAGCTAAGTCATAATTCAACATTATAAAGGAGCTACTAAGTGACAAACCTGTCTTCCTAGCTATGTATGTGTGATTGTAGATGTACGTGTAGTGAAGATGATGTCTCTTCTCTAGGAATTCCTAATTTCTAAAATAATCATACTATCAGTGGTCAGAACAGAGACTGTGTGGTTAATAATTACAGAGAGACTATAATGGAAAGACTTGCTAATTACTATTTGAGCACAGAGGAGAAAATTTATTCTTAGTTGTGGGGATAGAGGAAGATGTTGAAAAACGTGAATGTAGCCTGAATTCTTAGGATTGGTTGAACTTTGACAATTTGACGAGGTGGTGAGGGATTTAATGAGTTGTCTAGGGATACTTATCTGCTGACAGGGGAAAGGGTTAGAGGAAATAGGGAAAGGGTGCATTTTGAATAAAAGGGGAAAACCTTTTTTTCTGAGTGATTGTTTTCACTTTTTTAACTTTGTATAGGAAATCTATTGAACCAATTGTTTTGGCTATTCTGATGAGATCACAACTTTGCTTATATGGATTGTCAAATAAGGGATGGGCTCATAAAAGGATATTAATGTGTTGTTTTTATTGAACAAAGTAGCATTACAGAATAGGTGATTTCAAAGGCACATGGTTCTTTCACTATAGCCTTCAGGGGCAATGTTTGATCACTGAAAACAGGCTGCTTTGTTCCAGATTTCTCTGATGTTGGCATTATCCTGAATACATATGCACTGGCTTGGAAAGAATCAATCTGTAAAGATTTAATAGATTTGAGATTTGCATATTTAAAATACATGTCCTGTGGTTGAAATGATATGAAAAGTATTTTTAACATCTACATATACATAAACACATAGTTCAGACATCTTAGAAAATTTTTAAAAGGCAATTATGTGTATGAATGTGTTTTTATGAAAGCTGACTATTTTAAAAATGAACCATTTGTATTTTCACGAGGAAAAATAATCCTCAAGCTTCAGAAATTTGGGATTTGCTGTATGTTCTCACCCATCGTGGACATATTTTTCTAGTGTTAAGCATCACTGAACAGTTTTTCATTAAAAGTGAATTAACTGTTTCATCCTCAAAAGTCACAAAGATTTAAAGATAAATGTTGAAGATTAGAATTTGCACGAGGGTCTTTCTCTTATATAATGGGAAAAGTGATTTTCTTTTTGCAAAAGGGGAAAGATGTTTTGGAAGAACTGAAGGGCCAAAAACTTTCTCTGTGGTGACTAAAACACACAGCATTTTCTTCTCATTGAATTCTCTGGTTTCTCTTCCATTACTGATAGGTAATCTCCAATAAATGTATCTTTAAAAAAAAAAGATTTACTTATGCTTATAGCACTGGAATACAGGCAAGAGGCGTGGTGGGTGAGACAGAGTGGGGAGCAGAGACAGAGTAGGGAGCAGAACAGGCAGATTGACAAAGTACACTGCTGAGAAGAGCAGCGGGCAGGTCAGGAGAGGTCTGCTGCACCATGTAGGTCAGATCCCTGGCCAGGGATCGAATTGTTGCTGAAGTGGCTTTAGAGAGTTTCATCATGTGGTGTTTTAACCCATCGTGCCACCAGGGAGAGTCCTAAAATAAATGTATCTTTGAATTTCAATGAAAACTTTGAAAGAAAAATGACAGTCCAAGTGTGTCAGTTTGATATAGTCACATCTACAACTAGACAGTATTGCATTGAAAGTAAGCCAAACAGATTTCATTTGGAATAGGTTAAATTACATTGGTTCATGTGACAAGTAAAATATCATGCCACTTTCCTACTTAATATCCTTTCCTTTCCCTGTCTCTACCTACAGTATCCTCCACTTCAGTGAACTGAATGCTCCCACTGTGTGGGATGGCCTTCCTTCTCTACTTAATCTTGCAGCATTCTCAGAACAGACACTATTTCAGTTATACATTTGTTGCCTCAACCAGTGCTTTACAAACCTGAATGTACTTATGAATCATTGGGGGTCTTGTTAAAAATGGAGGTTCTGATTCAGCAGGTCTGGAGACTGGCCAAGGTTCTAACAAGCTCCCAGGCGATATAGTAGACACACTTAGGGTAGCAGGCACCTAGATGCATATGACCTTTTGTTAAATTGGCATTAGTGTCTAGACCATCAGAACTGGAAAAGTAGATTCCTTGACTTTGAGGTTATTTCATATTGAAGCTGAAATTTTTGTTTACTTATGATTTCATAAAGATACTGCTTGAACTAGGCTCTCTATTACTCCAGTCTACTTTCTTACCACTCCTCCTTTCTTACTTATATTTGAAACATAGCAAATTGCTTGAAGCTTCCAAAATGTATCTGGCTCTTTCATAGACTAGTATCATTTTTTTTAAAGATTTATTTATTTATGCATTTACAATTGGGGTACAGGCCAGAGGTTCAGGGGCAATGAGAGGATTCACCAGAGACAGAGTGGGGAGCAAAACAGGCAGATAGACGAAGTACACTGCTGGAGGCAGGCCAGCAGAAGTCTGCCATGCCATGTGGACCCCTCCACCCCCACCCTGGGGCAGGGATCTAACTCATGCTCAAGTGGCTTTAGCTTCTTAGTTAGTGCTGTGCTTCAACCCACTGAGCCACCAGGGAGGGCCTATTAGTGCCTTTTTGACTATTTCCTCTGCTGTGTTAACATCTTGGGATACTTCCTTTAAAACTCATTTTAGTTATCTCTTCTAGGAATCTTTTCACTAATCTATTTCCCATGTAATTGTGTAGTAAAATGCCTTCACTGTGCTCCCATAATACCATATTTTCTATGTTATAGCTTTGGTGAAATTTGTTGGTATTACTTCTGGGGAGAGAAAAGAGGCAGGGATACATTTTATTTACAGCCTAACCAGAATGCATATCACTTAGTAGGCTTTCACTGAAGTTTGTTGAATGAATGAAGAAATAGGATTATGTGTAATAGTCATGCAAATATATAATTTATTATTTTCTCTTATAAAACCTAAAATTGAATTGGGAATAATAAAAGGTAAAGTCATAAAAAGCTAAATACATGATGAAATAATACTGAAGATGAAAAATATTAGCTTGTATGTGAATAATTGGCAAATGAGGATCAAAGGAAATAACTCTTCTGAGTTCAGTGGAGGAAAATATCACTGTGGATTTATTATTATTTTTTAATATCCCAATTTGTTCCACAGATGACAACACCCTATTAGAGTTCATAAAATGCATGAATGTTTATGCAGTTAAGGGAATCAAATGAGAAAAAGAGGCAGATGTAGAAGCATATTCTCTAAACTTGAGGAGATACACTGGCATTGTGCAAAAGTAGTTGTCATTAAATAATGGACCTTTGGTTGGTGTGCCGGATTTTCATGTCAGCTCTCAGTGAGGGAGGCTGAGTTTCTGTGGGAGCTTCAGCAGCTTCCTTGTCCTCTGACTTCTGACTGAATCTGGCCCAAAGACTATCCTTACAGAACACCAACTGGAAGCAGAGTAAGGCTAGGACATTTGTTTTCTTGTGCTGCCTGGAATGAGCGGTGCCTCTGTGCAAGTTGTTCTTTTGTTAAAATTTCCCCAGTTTATTCTAATTTGAGTGTGTTTTCTGTTACCTGTTGAGACTAATACACTCAGAGTTGGGGAAGATAAATTGGATTCCAGGCTTAACTTAATAACTTTTATGATAACTATTAATGGTATAAAATTGTTTTAAATAAGAGTTTAAGAGAAGAGAGTTCAGTAGAGAGAAGAGGTCAGAAAATAGCAAACCAGTCTAAAATCTGGTGTTCATATTTTAGTGTGGTAAATAGGATCTAAATCAGGTAAGCAAAAACTAATAAGCATCAACACTCACAGTTCTATAATGTTTGTTTACATTTGATGTTAGCTTATTGTTCAGCTGTAAAGCAGCAATATTTCAGGAATATTGGGGGCACCTTTTTTTTTTTATTAAGGTTAGGTTATTCAGACATTTTCCTTTTTCCTTTCCTATTGTTGTTCTTCTGGCACTTCAGTGTATAGTGTCCTATAGCCATGAGATTTAAAAAGAAAACAAATCGATGAAAAAAAGTATATTGTTATTACAACACAAAACACAACACAGCACAACAAAACAAACAGACAATTATAAACTAGCTGTATCCTACAGGGGAGGGGAACAATGAGGGATCAGAAGGAGGTAGAAATGTGGGGGACTGTGGTGATGATGGATGGAGGAGGGGGCAGTAAACATTGTTTTAAACTAAGTTTAGCTTAGTGTCTGTGACAAAAAGGTATGCTAGGAGGGAAACTAAAATCTTGAACTAAAATGAAGCTTTTCAGTTTATCTGGACTGGTCTGCCCCCCTATTGCTATAAATATATTGAGAATGATTTCTAGCCTCTCAAAAATCAAGACATAAAATGGACAACACATCTCCTATATTCACATCAATGAATACAGCCAAGGCTCAATAAACAGACATAATGCTCTGGTGTACAGACCTCTGTCTTTGGATCTTGGATTGTCTTACACCCTTGTTTGTGGTACTTACTTAGATTATTGTTGCTTCATATGAGCCTAATTCTGTGACCCAGCAAAAACAGATCAGAAATCCCAGCAGGGAAAGACTTGTTTGTAGTTTGACCTTGGAAAGATGAGCTAAAGGTGCTGAGGAAACCATAAATTCCATTTACAATACTAACAAAAAAAGATTGTTTGTACTTTGCCCAGTGGATGAAGTGACAATCTAATCTTTTCTTGGTACATGCTGTATATTTTTCTAAGCTTGATTAAATTCTCACTTAATAGGTAGCCGAAAGAAGAACTGAATAAAAACACTTTATAGAAGGCTTTTGATTCATTGTTCTTCATTATTTCATTTTTTAAAAGCTGTTTTTGCTCTTCAGGTTCTGTTTATGAAATGTTTGGAAATGAATGCTGTTTGGCAACAGGAGACGTGATTAAAATTACTGGACTCAAAATTAAGAAGATTATAGCTGAAATTTGTGAACATATTGAAGGCTGTGAGTCTCCACAACCATTTGAACTGCCTATGAATTTTCCAGGTACATTTTATTGCAACTATTTCTCATTTTCAAAACTGTATTGTTAAGACTATACACAATCTATATGACTGAAACAATGAAAAAGTGGTGTTCTTTTTCCCCCATTCTAGAGCAGTGGGTGAAAATTTTTAAGGACCATTAGAAGCAAAAGTGTTTCTTCCCTTTTTAATAAATATTCTTTCCTTAGGACTTTTTTCTGTTAACAAATACTTAATGAGCGTACTGGTAATTATATTAGTGAAAATAAAGACATCAGAGGTATATTTTCATAAGTATATGGAACTAATTGATATCTTTTAAGCATATCTAATATCTATTGCCGTTGTTCTAGCTCCTGCTAATCTTCCCTGTCTGATCTTACTGACAAACCTGACTTCTTTTCATTGTCTAGTTACCTCAACTTCAGTCTTCCAAAATCAGCTTAAATACCAAGTTTCCTGCAAAACTTTTGCTGACCTTCAAACAAAATCTAGATATTATTCTTCCATGCTCCTATGGTATCTTGGACACCATAGCAGGCATCTCATTGAGTAATCATCAATGATTTTTTTTATTAATCTTTGTTCTCTAGAGCAGAGATTGGAAAACTTTTTTGATAAAGGACTAGATAGTAAATACTTTAGACATTGTCATCAAGTGATCTCACTATGACTACTCCACTCTGAGGTTAAAACATAATGCTAGTTATAGATAATACATGAGCCAATGAGCATGGCTATGATTCAGTAAGAATTTGTGTGTGTGTGTGTGTGTGTGTGTATAAAGATATCTGTCAGAATTTACCTTGTGAATTATAGTTTGCTAAATTCTGCTCTATATAAACCTCTTTGACAAATAAAATATGACATATGGGACTTTGTATTTCTGGTATTATGCACATTTTATGACACAGAAAGTATGTTCAAAATTATCATTTAATGATTGAATGAATGCATACATGGATGTTTAATGAAAGAAAAAATTTAGTAACTGTTTATAATATGATAGGATTCGTGGTATTATGAACCATTCACGGAGTCTATGAATGAATGACAAAGCCCAGTGATCATGTTTCTGAACTTGGATTTGGCATCACTATATTTAAATCCCAACTGTGCCACTTCTGTGTAAACTTGCCAAGTTATTTACCCTACTTTCATGTAAAAATGGTAATAAATTAGTTATATCTCGTGTTGCTGAGAAGATTAGGTATTAAACTACATTTAAAATATTTAGGTGGTGATATCATTTAGCAAGTGATGTATAAAACAGTATTAGTTTTGATTGTCATTGATATTATTATTGTCATTAGTGTAGTCGTGGAAAGCTTTTAGAAACTTGAACATCAATTTAGGGGCTAAAAATAAGTTATTTAATTGAAGATAGCATTCTTCTAGTCTCCTGCTCCTTACAACTGAAATCTTGCCCATTGTTCAGTTACTACTATTCCTGCCTTACCTCCACCCTTCACAATAGTGGTTCTCAACTTTGACTGAATTTTAGAATCATCTGGGACTTAAAAAAAGCAAAACAAAACAAAACAAAACCCCTGGCATTCAGGACACTAGCTTGAAATATTCTGATTGGTTTATTTTGGGATGAAGTCTGGTCATCTAGGTTTCCTGAGGCTCTTTCGTGGTACCACTGAGCACCCAAATTTGAGAACCATGGCTTTTAAAAATTTTTTTCATTACCCTTTTGATCACTAGAGTCTTCTATCCCTCACTTACTGCATTTATTATATTTTGCATGCAATTGAAGTTGTTTGTGTGGCTTGTTTATATACCATTTACCTAGTAATTGCTAAGGGCAGACTCTTCATAGTATCAATGGATATATGGATATATATTTATATATATATATATGTGTGTGTGTGTGTGTGTGTTATAGCAAATATTTAAATATTTAATAAATTAAAAATAAGTAGCCATCTTCTGATAGGTTATTTTTTCTTATTAGATCAGTTAAAATACCTAGCTTTTGACTAACAGCTCAACTTTGTCAAGTTGCTATTTAGAATATATCTTTAAACTTTCCATTGACATAAGCTCCCATCAATTTTAGTAACAATTTGAAAATTTTATTTTATTATAAAAATCATGGCTTAAATTGAGGAGCACAGTGACTGGTGATGATTAGGGAATATTTCCTTTCACAGAGGAATCTTGGTGACAATGAAAGCTATCAGACACTGGGGTGAGGTGGTATCTCATTGTGATTTTAATTTGCATCTCCTTTATTACGAGTGATGTTGAACATTTTTTCATATGCCTGTTGGCCATCTGCATTTCCTCTTTGGAGAAGTGTCTTTTTAGCTCTA